GTGCGCCCCCTGTTGGCCGTGTGATGGCGGCGCCCCCTGTTGGCCGTGTGATGGCGGCGCCCGCTGTGGCGCTCCCTGCTGGTCGCGGGCGGGCGGCGCCCGCCGAGGCGCCCCCTGCTGACCGGACGCCCGAGGCGCCTGCCCAGGCGGCCCCTGCTGGTCGCACGCCTGCTGCTGCCTCCGCTCTTCCTGAGGTGCCCGCCGAGGCGCCTCCTGCTGGCTACACGCCCGCAGCCCGTCCTGCCCGCAGCCCGTCTGAGGCCACCTCTCCCGTCATGCCCGCGGCCCTGCCTGAGGCCGCCTCTCCCGTCATGCCCGCGGCCCTGCCTGAGGCCGCATCTCCCGTCCTGCCCGCGGCCCTGTCCGAGGCCGCCTCTCCTGACCTGCCCGAGGTAGCCGCTCTGCCTGCAGCACCGCCTGCAGATCCGGCGGCCGCTCAGCCCAAGGTGCCTGCCGGGGCGCCCCCTGCTGGCCACGTGCTGGTGGTGCCTGCTGCGGCGCTCCCTGTTGGCCACGTGCTGGTGGTACCCACGGCTGTGTCTGAGGTCCCGGTGCTACCTCCGCCTGCACCCACGCCCGCCGAGGTGCCTGCTCTGCCTGCGGCACCTCCTGCTGGCCGCACGCCCAAGCCCGTCTCGCCTGACCTGCCCGGCTCGCCTGTCCAGCTGGCCCAGCCCTGCTCGCCTGTCAAGCCGGCCCAGCCCTGCTCGCCGGTCCAGCCGGCCGCGCCCGCTGCTACGGCCAGGCCCGCGGCCCCACCTGAGGCCGCCGCTCTGCCCGCGGCCACGACCGCGGCCACGCCCGCGGCTCCGGCTGCCCCGCCTGTTGCCTCTTTAGAGGCCTTGACTTCTGTCCGCCCAGTACCGACCTCCCTCTTGACTCCCTCACCCTTGCCTCAGCAAGGCCGACACACCCCAGGACCGCGCCTGTCCGTTTCCCGTAAGGGACGGGGACACAGGCGTCGGGTCCTGGTCCCGCCTGCCCTAACCCCTGGCTCGCCCGTGCGCCCCCTGGCCGTGGCTCGGTGGCTGCCTGCGGGTCCTGCGGCTCCGGCTCGGCTGCCGCCTCCGGGTCCCCCCGCTTCGGCTGGGCGTC